GTGCGCCACCACCGCCCGGCTGAGTTTTGCAATTCTTGGGAAAAGGAAAGCAACACCTTGAGCTTCCTTCTTAGACAGCTCTGATGGCTGAAGCTGCAAGGAGACAGTTCAGCCCTGGAGGGTGAGGTATCCTGGACACCACAAGCTGCTCAGAGCAGCTCTGCCCTGAAGGTGTCCCAGACACCTGAAGCTGTTTAGCACAGCTCTGATGGCTGGAACTGCAAAGAAGTAGCCCAACCCTGGAAGGGAAATTTCTCTGACTTCTCATTAAAGTCAGGCCTGGAACTGCTTCAGTAGGGAAAGGTATCCTGACTGTTCAGGAAATGCAGGGTATCCTGACTGTTCAGGAAAGTCAAGCTATACCTGGTGTGATGGGGGCTGGTCTCCCCCCAGGATATAGCAATCTTGCTTCTCTCTTGGAGAGCCTTTACAGCTGAGCTTTTGTCACCCCCCACTTAAGGGGACTTCCTAGCAGAACTCAGCTTCCCTAGCCTAAGAAATTGTAAAAATGTAGCAATATCCTCCTGCTTAGGAGAAAAGTGTTACTTTTTCAGCTCTCTCTTGCTCTGTCCACGGAGGGACATCTCAGCAATGTTCTTCTGTTCAGCTCCCCCTTGCTCAATCCACTATGGGTTGTCTCAGCAAGGTGCACCAGTGAATGAAGGTCTTCATACCCAAAACTCTTTTGAGAGAGAGATTTATTTGGGAAGGAGGAATCTAGGAGAGTAGCTGCTGTAGCGGTAATGCCCGCATTACCGATACCCGTTCACCATGTCCGAGCAAAGGGCTGCAGATTAAAAATAGAGACAAGAGGGCCTGGAGAGATGGCTCAGAGGTTAAGAGTACCAACTGCTCTTCCAGAGGTCCTGAGTTCAATTCCCAGCACCCACATGGTGGTTCACAACCATCTGTAATGAGATCTGGTGCCCTCTTCTGTATACATAATAAATTAAAAAAAAAAAAATAGAGACAAGAGACAGCGAGTCATTCGCCATGGCTGAATGCCGAATGCCGTTTATTGAAAGAGGGAAGAAACCTTAAATACAGTCTTACAACACAAATGGAGGAACCCCGGAGGGCAGAAGTTTGGCTACCAATGGTCTACATTCTAGACCCAATGTTCTACATTCTTGCATCTAAGTTGTTTACACCAAATACAGGATGTAGGAACAAAGAACCTCCGGTAAGCTCTCCAGTGATCCTTAGGTGAGAAGGAGACTGGCAGGGAATCTGAATAGGGAGGACATCTGGTAAAGGTCAGCAAGCAAGGCGGCAGCCACTCACAGTCAGGGGCCAGGGCCCAAGGCGCCCACAAGCTGCCTCTACCAGGGTTGAGAGAAGAGCTCACAACTGAGCAGGCAGGGTGGTTTATATAGGATGTCCTAGGGGTGGAGTCAACCCATGATTGGTTAGTTTTTTCTGCCCAGGGATTGGCCAGGTTTGTGGGCTAAGGGCAGAGATGACCCTGATTTCAGGGCCAAACTGTGTTTCTTTCACTGGCCTTTCTTGGCTTTTTGACACTACCTCTAAGGTCAGGGCACATTTCTTTCACTGACTCTGATTCTAGAGACCAAGAGTATTATTTTGGCACTAGTTTCAGAGTCAAGGCATGTTTCCTTGGTTCTGGATTTGGGGATAAAGTGTTTTCTATCTCAGGTCCCAAATGCAGTCTGTGTTTCTTTCCCTGGCCCTGGGCCCTCGGGCCAGGATTCTACTGTCCTGCTTTGTGATTGGTTGGATTCACAAGTCAGTTGGCCAGGGGCAGAGATGGCTCTGATTTGAGCCAAACTGTGTTTCTTCCACTGGCCTTATCTGAGTCGTCTTGCCCTAGTTCTGGGCACCGGGGTCAGGGTGGGTTTCTTTAGCCAGCCCCCTTTCCCTATAGAAATCACGCATTCAAAGGGATTAAAGCCTAGGCCATGCACTTACTGGAACATAGGCCTCTTCAGTCACCTAGCACCTAAAGGACATGCATTTACCTGGGCCTGCTCCATGGCTATGACTTCTCTATCAGTGGCCATGACTGTGTAAAAGCTGTTGGGAATATCAACACCACAGAAGAGCACGTGGATCCCATAGGTGCCTGGCTTGGCAGCAGTGTAGAAAATGTCATAGGTGCCATCTTCATTTTCGATGACATCAGCCTCAGCCTCTGTGACATTCAGAATCATGCAGGCCACTTTCCCCTTCCCAGAAGTCTTGGCATCCAGTACAAAGCCCATTTTCTCTCCAGTTTTCACAGTAGGGGCAATCTCAGGACCTGTGGCCAGGTACTTGCTGGATCCACCTGTCTGCATGGCCCAGATAAGGTAAGGAAAATGTTGTCTCCACTATAGCCAACCCAAATTACATAGTGTCTGATCTTATCAGAGATATATGTAATGGCATATGTGGCATTTTTATTGTTGTGGGAAGTGGCTCTCTGAGGCTTTCCCTCTTGGGGAAAGGCCACATCTGAGGGGGATGAGTAACCATGGCAACACCTGATTTCAAGGTTCCTGCTGTAAGACTGTGACCTGAGACTGGGAGCACAATGCCTGGTGAGACAAACTGCTGAGAGAACTGCACAGGGAGTCAGGTCTTTATCACCCAGACTTTTAGCAAGGGAAGAATTGGCATAGAACCTTGTGATGCTTTGTGTTAATAACCTTGGTTAGACATCTGCAACTCTGTCCTTGTGCATATCTGTAAAGTTTTAACTAACGATCCATTTACAAAGACATTCAGTCAAGCTTGATTTTGCTCTTGAGGCTTAGAATCAATTAATTGTATGTGGCTTGTTTTAAAACTGAGAAGTAATTATTGTTTTCTTTATGCCAATCTGAGCTAGTGATATAAAACAGGGCCTAAGTGTCTTACAGTCCTCGTAGAATAATAGATCAAGTTATGAAGCAAATCCTAATTATTTTTTTTTTCCATCACAGGCAATTTATTTTGTTCTATTCATTCACAGTTAATACAGAAAATACTTGGAAA